GATCTATTCGCGTCTCTCAATCCGTCCCTCCCTCTCACACGAGGTTTCGTATTTCTGTTTCTGGCTTTCTCTTTCCTGATCATTCCTTTATATCTCTGCGTTTGTACACATGGCACGTGAAGACTCTTACACCATCCTCATCCTCCCGCTGCAGAGCAGCCTGCACAGCCCTGATGCCCTGCACAGCTTCTACTGGGTAAGAAATCATGAGTTGTGCGTCACTTTTAGGGAAAAACAGGTGCTAGAATATGACGGGATGATTAATTGCGACTCACGGCTGATTTATAAATCTGTAGATCCAGCCTGATCTCACGAGGAAACGTTAGTATTTTACGTTTTGTTAGTTTAGTGGCTCAGTCGTACAAAAATTGTACGATTTTAAAAAGGAGGCGTGGCACCCAACCCCACCCCTAACCCCAACCGTCATTGGGGGATGAGCAAATCGTACTAAATTGTACGAATTAGATCGTACGATTTTATACGAATTAGCCACTAAATCAAAACGTTACGAATTGCCGTTGGGTGATCACGATGCGAAGGATGATGTTGCCGAGTTTGGCACTAGAACATTACAGTTAGTCATTAAGCAGATGATTTCGTTCAAAGCGTTACGCTTATCTACGGGTGGTTTGTCAAGCCCACTCACCTGTTTGAGGTTTTGAGATGTTCTGAACAGTTCTGAGAGTTCAAAAGCAAAGACTGCATGTTGAATGTTTGCCGATGCCTCTATAATGCAATCTCACGCCAATTCGTTACAAATTTTGTGTCAAATTTGTATCGGCTGACTCCTCTCGATTTGTCGATTGTCAATTGACCTTATTCTAAAATGCGGAAGTGCGCCTGTTTTCGCGATTGTTTTAGAACTTCCGATTCAGTCGCCTATGGGAGAAATGACTCGGAATAATAAACGGCAGAAAACGATCACTCGCTCTACAAACGAATGTTTGCATTACTATACAGACCAAGTGGAATAATATAATAAGGAAATATCAGTTTGCAACATCAACGAGCAGTTTTTAACGTCTAAAAATGAATGGAAGTGACTGAGACTGGAAGTCTTGAGCCAAAAAGATTGCGCCCACTTGTCGGCAAAGAATAAGGTGAATTATACATGACCATGCACCATAAAACCAGTCATAAGTGTACATTTTTGGAAATTGTGATTCATTCGTCACATTAAATCTAAATAAATAGGTTTTCAATGGATCTGTAATTTAATAGAACAATATTTGGCGGAGATTTGAACATTTGCAATCTGAGGGTAAAAATAAAAATCGAGAAAGCTGCCTTCAAAGCTGTCTAAATGAAGTCAAATGTAGAAAATATAATTATGGCATATAAGAAAAATCTATAATTATGACTCATACGATGTTGTGCAGCAGAAGACATTGTCTGAAAACCCTAATAAGTTGACTGAACTAAATTAATTGAGTAAACTCGTTGCCTCAATGTAATTGAGTGATGGAGTCTCCAAAACTTGCATATTTAAGTTTATTCAACTTAAGAAAGTGTGATAGAATGGTAAAATACGGAATAATTTTGGCAAAAACGGCAGGGTTTACATGAATGAAGTGAACAGGAAGTGTTTGTGGAGAAACGCAAAACATCTTTGCGAGGGAACACAAAAAAAACGTAAAAATATGTTTCCTATCACTTTGAAATATTATATATATATATATATATATATATATATATATGTGTGTGTGTATATATATATATTTATATATATATATATATATATATATATATGTGTGTATATAGAACAGCTCTGTCTGGTTCTCGAATCTGATTGGCTGATAGCCATGATACATTTAAGTAATATCAGCACCCGTACAGCCTCTTTACCCTTTGTGTATTACTCCGCCCACATACAGCCAGCAAAAAGCAGACACTACAGATCTAAAGTTTAAAAGATGCTTGCTCAGCTGTTTAACTGTCAGCTTTTGATTTGAATCCAAGGCGGAAGAAAGAAGTTCCTCATGCAAAAGGGTTTTTGAGACTCTCCATGTTTGATTTAGTTTTTATATACACAATTATGCCGTCAAACTGTTGTATAAACGCAACATCACACGAGTAGCAGTGCGATATGGCTCGTGCCATCGCACGCCTCCCACCAGTGCCGATATACAGCCATATCGCACTGCCACTCGTGTGATATTGCTCATATATTTATATATATTGTATTCTTAAAGGGATAGTTCACCCAAAAATGTACATTCTGTCATTGTTTACAAATCCTTCCCATCACAAACCTATTTAATTTCTTTCTTCTGTTGAACACAAATCATGTTGTTTTTAAAGAAAGCTGGAAACCAGTAACCATTGGCTGTTTTGCCTACTGCTGATAAATAATAAGATTTTTCATTTTTGAAAACTGACCTTTATGAGTTTATTTCTCCTGCTGAACACAAAAGAAGACGTTTTGAAAAATGCTGGAAACCAGTAACCACTGACTTCCATACGAATTGTTTTTATTCTATGGACTTCGATGATTCTTCAGAATGTCATCTTTTGTGTTTTGAGTTTTAAAAGCGCTCGAAGGCGAGTAAATGTTCATTTTTGGATGAATATCCCTTTAAAGTGCAACACACTTGCAGTTACACGCAACTCTCTGTTCCATATCTGTCTTGCTATATTGATGATATGTGCTGTGCTACTGTAGTGTGGGATCCAGTATTCTTACTGTTTCCGTCCATATGTTCCTGTCAGCTAAAGAGGCGCAGGGATCTGGAAAGAGAGAAGGACGTCCTGTGGGCCGGACTGGAGGTTGTGGAGCAAACACAGCTGTGGTACCAGACTCGGCTGCAGCTCAATTCACAGAGACACTTGAGCACAGAAAACGTGGACAGACAGGTATACACCTGCAGGAAAACACAGCTGGAACGCTACTGTCACATAAAAGCACGACTATATAGACATACGCTAAAGCTGGAGGACTGTGCCAACTTCGATTCAAACGCATGGGGACTAAAATACAAATTATTAATAGAAATCAGCATCACTATTATTCTATACCTTCTAGAGTTATCAAACTTTTTAGAGCGGAGTTATCAGTTTTTAGGGCGGAGCTATCATTCTTTTATAGAGTGAAGTTATCAGTTTTTTTAAGGGTGGAGTTATCAATCTTTTTTGGGGCGGGGCTATTTTTTGGGCGGAGTTTTCAGTTTTTGGGGGGCCGAGCTATTCTTTTTAGGGCGGAGTTATCAGTCTTTTTTAGGGGGGTTATCAGTCTTTTTAAGGGCAGAGCTATCATTCATTTTTAGGGCGGAGTTATCAGTCTTTTAGGGCGGAGTTATCATTCTTTTTTTAGGGTGGAGTTATCAGTCTTTTTTTAGGGTGGAGTTATCAGTCTTTTAGGGCAGAGTTTTCATTCTTTCTTAGGGTGGAGTTATCAGTCTTTTAGGGTGGAGTTATCAATCTTTTAGGGCGGAACTATCAGTCTTTTTTTTAGGGCGGAGCTATCAGTATTTTATGGCAGAGTTATCATTCTTTTTAGGGCAGAGTTATTCTTTTTTAAGGGCGGAGTTATCACTCTCTTTGGGCAGATTTATCAATCTTTTAAGGTGGAGTTATCAGACTTTGAGGGCGGGGTTATCAGTCTTAGGGTGGAGTTATCAGTCTTTTAGGGCAGATTTATTAATCTTTTAAGGCGGAGTTATCTTTTTAAGGTGGAGCCATAAGACATTTGGGGCGGAGCTATCAGTCTTTTAGGCCGGAGCTATCAGTCATTTAGGGCAGAGCTATCAGTCTTTTAGGGCAGAGTTATCAGTCTTTTTAGGGCGGAGTTATTCTTTTTTAGGGGGCGGAATCATCATTTTTTTAAGGTAAAGTTATCGGTCTTTTTTTAGGGCGGAGCTATCAGTTCTTTAGGGTGGAGTTATCATTCATTTTAGGGTGGAGTTATCAGTCTTTTATGGTGGAGTTATCAGTCTTTAGGGCGGAGTTATTAGTCTTTAAGGGCAGAGTTATCTTTTTTATGATGGAGCTATCAGTCATTTAGGGCTATAGTCTAAATTTTTTAGGGCGTAGTTATCAGTCTTTTTCCAGGGCAAAGTTATTAGTCTTTTACAGCAGAGCTTTCAGTCATTTTAGGGCGGAGTTACCAGTCTTTATAGGGCGGAGTTATCATTTTTAGGGCGGAGCTATAAGACATTTAGGGCAGAGCTATTAGTCTTATTTGGGATGGAGTTATCAGTCTTTTTTTAGGGCGGAGTTATTAGTCTTTAAGGGCGGAGTTGTCTTTTTTTATGATAGAGCTATCAGTCATTTAGGGTTATTAGTCTATTTTTAGGGCGGAGTTATCAGTCATTTAGGGCAGAGCTATCAGTCTTTTTTAGGGCGGAGTTATTAGTCATTTAGGGTTGAGCTTTCAGCCTTTTACGACAGAGCTATCAGTCATTTTGGGCCATTTATCTGTTGTAAGAACTGTGAATGATGTTGCTGTGCTTTACAGGGTAGGTGGTCCTGTGCTTTGCGCTCAAGTCTGCAGCGTGTGAATGGGAGTTTGGGCAGTCTGATGACGGATTCCTCTATCTGGATTAACCCTGAGGAGAATGGAGGCTCAGACTGGGACATTCGCTGGAGCAATGCCATGATATGAAACTACAGAAATTGAAACTACAGAATATGAAAACTACATATGAAATACAGATATGAGTATGAAACTACAGAAATTGAAACTACAGGATATGAAACTACAGAAATTTACTGTGAAATAACAGATATTTTATTACAGAAAATTTTTGTAAAATAACGGACATTAATTTACAGAAACTAACCATAAAGTAACAGATATTTAATTACAGAAATTTACGGTAAAATAAAGAACATTAATTAACAGAAATTCACCATACAATAACAGACATTAATTTACAGAGATTTACCATAAAATAATGGACATTAATTTACAGGAATTTACCGTAAAATAACGGATATGAAACTACAGAAATTTACCATAAAATAACAGACATTAATTTACAGAAACTTATCATAAAATAACGGACATTATATCGCAGAATTTTTCCGTAAAATAACAGACATTAATTTACAGAAACTTATCATAAAATAACGGGCATTATATCGCAGAAATTTACCATAAAATAACAGACATTAATTTACAGAAACTTACCATAAAATAACGGACATTATATTGCAGAAATTTACCATAAAATAACGTACATTAAATCGCTGAAATTTACCGTAAAATAACGAACATTAATTTACAGAAACTTACCATAAAATAACGGACATTAAATCGCAGAAATTTACCATATAATAACGGACATTAAATCGCTGAAATTTACCGTAAAATAACGGACATTAAATCGCTGAAATTTACCATAAAATAACGGACATTAAATCACTAAAATTTACCTTAAAATACCCCACATTAAATAGCAGAAATTTACCGTAAAATAACGGACTTAAATGTACAGAAATTTACCGTAAAATAATGGATATTAAATTACAGAAATTTATTGTAAAATAATGGACATTAAATTACAGAAACTTACAGTAAAATGACGAACATTAATTTACAGAAATTTATTGTAAAATAGCGAACATTAAATCGCAGAAATTTACCATAAAATAACAGTTATTAAATTACAGAAATATACCATAAAAAACGGACAATAATTTACAGAAACTTACCGTAAAATAACGGACCTTAACTTACAAAAATTTACTGTAAAATAACGGAAAAAAAATGTACAAAAATTTATCATAAAATAACGGACATTCATTTACAGAAAATTATTGTAAAATAACGGACATTAAATCGCAGAAATTTACCGTAAAATATCGGACATTAAATCACATAAATTTACCGTAAAATAACGGATATTAAATTACAGAAATTTACCGTAAAATAACGGACATTAAATGTACAGAAATTTACCGTAAAATAATGGACATTAAATTACAGAAATTTACCATAAAATAACGAACATTAAATTACAGAAACTTACGGTAAAATAAGGGATATTAAACTACAAAAATTTACCATAAAATAATGGATAATAAATTACAGAAATTTACCGTAAAATAACGGACCTTAATTTACAAAAATTGATTGTAAAATAACGGACAATAAATGTACAGAAATTTATCATAAAATAACGGACATTCATTTACAAAAATTTATTGTAAAATAACGGACATTAAATCGCAGAAATTTACCGTAAAATTTCGGACATTAAATCACATAAATTTACCGTAAAATAACGGACATTAAATTGCAGAAATTTACCGTAAAATAAAGAATATTAAATTACAGAAACTTACCATAAATAAAGGATTTTTAATTACAGAATTTACCGTAAAATAACGGACATTAAATTGCAGAAATTTACCGTAAAATAAAGAATATTAAATTACAGAAACTTACCATAAATAAAGGATTTTTAATTACAGAATTTACCGTAAAATAATGGACATTAAATTACAGAAACTTACGGTAAAATAAGGGATATTAAACTACAATAATTTACCATAAAATAACAGATATTTAATTACAGAAATTTACCGTAAAACAACAGATTTTTAAGCTACAGTAATTTACCAGAAATTTTTATTAACGGTAAATTTCTGTCATTTAATATGCTTTAATTTAATGCTATATTTCTGTAATTTAAATATCTGTTATTTTACGTTTTTTCCCAACACCCCAGCTGCCAGAAATAAACCATAAAATTACGGATTTTTTTTTTACAGTGTAGTTTTAAGTCAAATGTTAGAGGATTTCAGCATTTTTAAAAAAATCTTCTTTTGTGTTCAACAAGAGAAAAAAAAACTTCGGGAAGGTTTTTAACCCCTTAAGGAAGAGTAAACGGTATATATATATATTTTTTTTTATTCTGGGTGAGCTGTCCCTTTAACAAAGCTTTAAAAAATTATTGTTAAAACTGGTTGAAGCTGCGGTACACAGTCTCTACTGTATTCTATTTAATGTACAGCATTTATATATGTAATCATATGAAAATGTCAATAAATCTTTGTTCTCATTTTATAACAACTGTGTTCCTGTTTATGTGCTTCTGAAGCAGGTCGCACACCAGAAGCACCGCTTGGCGCCGCGACACGGCGCGCACATGTTTAAAGTATCACACACCAGACGCGCACATTTGAACGATATTTAACATGAAACTAATCAGATGGCGCTCTGTGGTGTGGCTGAAATATGAACAGTGCTCTGAGTCATGGCTGGGCACCGCCGACTTGCGGCGCCGGTGTGTGTATCCTGATAGAAATCTATGTTTAGAATTCTAAAATGCATGGCGATGCGTGGTGCTACGCAGCGTGTCGCGTCGCCGAGCGGCGCTTCTGGTGTGCGACCTGCTTTAGTCATTGCCTCGAGCTGCAGATCTTGTTACCTTGCTAGTTACACTAGCAACCACCTAGCAACACCTTAGCAACTGCCTAGCAACACCTTAGCAACACCTTAGCAACATCTTAGCAACTGCCTAGCAACACCCTAGCAACCGTCTAGAAACACCTTAGCAACCGCCTAGCAACACCTTAGCAACCGCCTAGCAAAACCTTAGCAACCGACTAGCAACACCTTAGCAACTGACTAACAACACCTTAGCAACCGCCTAGCAACACCTTGACAACCGCCTAGAAACACCCTTGCAACACCCCAGCAACCGCCTAGCACCACCTAAGCAACTGACTAGCAACACCTTAGCAACCGCCTAGCAACACCTTAGCAACCGCCTAGCAACACCCTACCAACTGCCTAGCAACACCTTAGCAACACCCTAGCAACACCTTAGCAACCGCCTAGCAACACCTTAGCAACCGCCTAGCAACACCCTAGCAACACCTTAGCAACCGCCTAGCAACACCTTAGCAACTGCTTAGCAACAGCCTAGCAACACCTCAGCAATTGCCTGGCAACACCTTAGCAACCGCCTAGCAACACCTTAACAACACCTTAGCAGCAGCCTAGCAACACCTTAGCAACCATTTAGCAACACCTTAGCAACCACCTAGCAACACCAACACAAATCAGGTGGTGGTTGAGGTGTTGTAGGTCAGTGGTTCCCAAAGAGGGACAGGTTATTGTATTATATTCTATATGTGTAGGTGCATATATATATAAGCTGAAGCTCATATCACTATATATTCACTCTGTCCAGATGTTATTGTATTATCTTGACGTTATACTGTGACCTGAAGAAGGGGAAAATGTCATATCATTGTAGAAAACATTTTTATAGGCCAGGGCATCCCGGTGACGCAGTGGTTAGCACGATCGCCTCACAGCAAGAAGGTCGCTGGTTCGAGTCCTGGCTGGGTCAGTTGGCGTTTCTGTGTGGAGTTTGCATGTTCTCCCCGTGTTGGCGTGGGTTTCCCTCACAGTCCAGACACATGCGCTACAGGGGAATTGAATAAGCTAAATTGTCTGTAGTGTGTGTGTGTGTGTAAATGAGTGTGTATGAGTGTTTCCCAGTACTGGGTTGCAGCTGGAAGGGTAATAACATATTTCTCATAAGTTAGAGGTTCATTCAGCTGTGGTGACCCCAGATTAATAAAGGGACTAAGCTGAAGGCAAACGAATGATAGATATTTGCAGACCTGACGCCTCATTTCTGCTGGCTTCTGTCGCAACACGCTACTCTTTCTCCTCTGGTGGTCTTTTATGTAGACCAAAGACAGACACAAAGCCATTTCTGCTTATCTGTACAACCTAATTCTCCTCTGTGACTTCCCAGAGTTGCGTGTGGCCACATGTTAACATCGGCGTCAGTATCTAGGCATCAGATATACATTCGCACTGTACGGAACATTCTTGCTGCCTTGCGTTCTGTAATTGAATCAGATGAACTTTCTGATGACGCTATAAGCTACCCGTCAGATTCTGCAACCAGTGCGACTTTTAATGTGGATTCAAGAGTTCACACTTAGCTGATGATTGATAATAAAGCTAGTTCAGCGTGCGGTCCCAGGGAGAGAGCCCTGAGCTTATAAGATCCTCGAGCCCTGGGCTCCCTCCCGAGGAGAGGGGAGTTTGAGCTCAGGTAGATCTCGATGACTCCCCCTCCTGCTTATTGTAGCTAAGTGTCAGATATGGGTGCTGAGAAGGTGTACTCAGAGTTTGGCTAAAATATTTTGGATTAAATGTTTAGGGTGCTTGTTTTTGAACGGTGGGAGGAAAACCCGCGCGAGCACGGGGAGAACGAGCAAAACTCCGCACAGAAATGCCGCCTGGTTTGGAAGGGGATTAAACCAGGGGCATTCTTGCTGTGAGGCAACAGCGCTAATCGCTGGCCACCGTGTCGCCCATTTGTAAGGAGGGAAAGCAGGGTTGGGTGGGGGGGGGTTTCCTCAAGACGAAGATATTGAGATGAGAAAAGTCTGGTTATTTATCGTGAGTTAAGGATCGTCTGATAGGATAATCAGTCATTAGCTAAAGTTGTGAACAATGCACGTGATCCTTGGCTTAGTCCCTTTATTAATCCTGGGTCGCCACAGCGCCAATTTGTCCAACAAGTTTTTACGCAGCGGATGCCCTTCCAGCCGCAACCCATCTCTGGGAAACATCCATACACACACTCATGTAGTGATTTTGTTTGGACTGTTCCAGTGAACTTTAATTTGTTTTTATAAATAAATAATTTTGTTTTCTTATTATTTTCATTTTCATTCAAATAAAAATATCAGTAACCTTATAAAAGTATATGGGAAATGTTTATTTTTTGTTTTAAAATCAGTTTTACGTTGAGTGATGTCACTTCCTTTTGCTCCCGTCCCGCTCTCGTCAGAACTGATTTGGACTTGAGTGAGACAGGTATGGTGTGAGTGAGCTCCGTCATAAGCTTAAATATAGTCGATTAGGTTAAAATGTTTGTTTATATCAGTGGATGACTTGCTTTAATAATGGATCGAGTCAAATAGTGTCCTTGTTAAGCATTATTTTTTAGT